AATATACTGAAGATGGAGATCAGGAGAAGGACATTAGGGAAACATGAAGTCCCATCCTTGCTTTAACAGTCTTAATGAGGAGAGGAGAGGAGAGGAGAGGAGGAGGAGAAGAAGGAAAAGGAGAAAAGGAGAAGGAGAAGAGAAGAAGGAAAGAGGGCAAGGAGGAGAAGGAGAAGGAGAAGAGGAGGTGAAGGAGAGAGGGCAAGGAGGAGAGGAGAACAGGAGAAGGAGAAGGAGAGGACTCCCAAAATGAGGTCTTCTGCTGAGATCCTGCTTCCCCCAAAATTCCAAAGCTGAGGTATCTTTGCTTAATTCAAGGCCACAGCTTTGGAAAAGTGAACTTACAGCTGTTATGGATGGCTTCTTTCCATCACCAGCTGGAGGATGAGTCACATCAGCTCCCAGGAATATAACCGGCTGCTGAAAAACTGCAGATCTAGGAGCAACATGAAGCAGGAGTCTTAATACAAAGGATCGCCAAAGAGGGTTCTCAGATGACTGAGGGTAACTACAGGTAGTTTTTGACTGACAACCATTTTCTTTAGTGACCATTCAAAGTAACAACAGCAACAAAAAGACCTATTTATGACCTATTTATGGACTTCAGGAGTTCATGATCAATTTTACAAAGGACTTGGAGTTTTCCCCGATGTTGTGGCCCATCAGCGGCCTGTGCAGTTAGTAGCTGATTCCGACAGCGAGGAGGCTGGTGTGGTGCTGCGCCAGCAGCCTGTGCAGCTGGCACTTGAGTTGGACAATGAGGAGGCTGGAGAAGATGTGGTGCCAGAGGTGGGGATTCAGCCAGGGCCTTCAGAACCTCCAGAAGCTCCCTTAAGTGAAGAGGAAGAAGAGGAGGAACCTCTTCTCAATGCATGGACGCGCAGAGCTGCCAAAAGGCAGGAGTAGCTCTTCAGGAGGAGGTCTCCTCGAGAGTAAGGCTTGGGGCCAATTGGCCACTCCCTTAGCCTACTTAAGGAAGGACGACGACTGAGGCAATTTGCAGGGAACAACTTCGTTCACTCTCCTTCGCGTCTTGATCTTAGATTTCTGCAAATTGCTTCTGGGCTTTCTGCCAACCATAGTAAGATTACGATTATTTATTCTTTGGATTCTTAGGATTAACAGATTAGGCTGTTAAGAAAGTTAATTAACAGCCTTTGTTTGAAAAAGACTGATTTAATTTAGTAAACTAAGGTTTGTACAGACTTCGTGTGTGCTGCGTTCTTTGGGGTCCATAGCTGGGGCAGAGCTACCCAGCTCTGGCGCTGCCCTTGAGCACCCGAGCTCAAAAGACAGAGAGGGAGAACATAATAGAAGTACAGAGTAGGAACAAAGAAAGTGGTCTTTCTCCAACCCCGAGCAATACGTACCGCTGATGGGGCACCAAGATATTGTTAATTCCTCCAAGTTTCACATTGATCTTGAGACAGAGGTTGGAAAGAGTCTGGGGGGAAGTCTTCACCACATTTTTGACCTGCACACATTGAGTGGCCATGCCCAGAAGGGTGTCCCCTACACGCTTCACCTCCGCTGCAGGGAAAGAACAGAGCATCAGAGATCAGTGGTCTTCATAAAAGGAGGATTCCTGTTTAGCGCAAGCAGATCCCTTTCGGAAGGCCTCCATTAACAAGGTGGAGAATAAAATGAAAGTCCCGTAAGGAATAGAGAATTCTTGAGATGTTCCAAACTTTTTAATACTACAAGTTGGTTAGATTAATGCAGTGTGTTTCTCAATCTTGGCAATTTTTAAGATGTGTGGACTTCAACTCCCAGAATTCCACAGTCAGAACAGGTACTGTATTTTTCGGCGTCTAAGATGTACCTTTTTCCCCCCAAAAAGAGGGTGAAAATCTGGGTGCATCTTATACTCCAAATGTAGCCCTGCCCAGCCTCTCAAACAGAGATTTCAGAGGCTGAAAAAAGCCACTGAAAGAAACTTCAGAAAAAAAGCCTCCGAAACAAAGCTTCAGAAAAAAAGCCTCTGAAAGACGTTTCAGAAAAAAAGCCTCCAAAACAGAGCTTCAGAAAAAAAGAAACGAAGTTTCAGAGGCTTTTTTTCTGAAGCTCTGCTTCGGAGGCTTTCAGAGGCAGAAAAAAAACAAGGCAAGAGCTCACAACCAAGGAACCTGTTGCTAAAGTTCACCTCTGGGAACAGCTGATTGGAGATGTTCTGGGAGGCCGATCCACCCGCCAATCAGCTTTTCTCTTATTTTCCTCCCCCAAAACTAAGGTGTGTCTTATGCTCCGAAAAATACGGTAGGTAGTAAATGAAGACTACGCTTCTCAAATGCTCTTCCTGACACCCGTTCTGATGACATACCATACACCGGTGTCTTTCCCGGCAAGATGACGATGATGAGCTGGAGTCCTGAATATGTGTTTTTAAGGTGTCGGAACATGGGCTCCACACTGTCAGCACCTTGGGCGTATTTACAGAAGCAAGGCTGGCCCTGGATTGGCATCCCTGCGTCCTTAGAAATTTTGCGCAGCTGGTCCGTAAAGTTCCTATCCAAAGAAAACAGAAGAGCGTAGATGAATTTTTCACAACTGACATGCCACCACTCGAAAGGAAACAAGATTGGTTATTGCTATAGAAATGGCTAGTAGTTACTATTTGGTATAACTAAAAAGATTGAGATATGTGGACTTCAATTCCCAGAATTCCCTAGAAGTCCACACATCTTAAACTTGCCAAAGTTGAGAAACGCTGGCCTAAGGAATGAGGCCAGAATGGAAGAAAAGCAGGAATGTATTGTATCAATATTGCCATACTTTGTGAATTGTCTCCTTTTGGGAAAGACAGAAAATAAGCTGGTTTCCAGCAAATCATTTTCTATTTGGTTGAACATGATCCAGGGGGTCTCCAACCTTGGCAACTTTAAGACTTGTGGACTTCAACTCCCAGAGTTCCTCAGCCAGCTATGCTTAAGGTTGCCAAGGTTGGAGATCCCTGCTCTAGATGATCTGAGACTGAGTCTCTCATAATTCTCAGATGTCTCAACACTTCTGGAGAGACTCAGTCTCAGATCATCTAGAGCAGGGATCTCCAACCTTGGCAACTTTAAGACTTGTGGACTTCAAATCCCAGAGTTCCTTAGCCAGCAAAGCTAAGGAAGGAACTTAGCTTTGGTTAATAACCTGCAGCAAAGCTGGCTGAGGAACTCTAGGAGTTGAAGTCCACAAGTCTTAAAAGTTGCCAAGGTTGGAGACCCCTGATCTAATCCAAGTAGAGACAGAATCCTTATATGGAGAACCTACAGTTTCAACCTGGAATCTTCTGTGCATAAGCAATGTGTAAGCTTTTGCACATCATCCATAAGGGATGTCTTTTAAATCTCAAAAAAAAAAAAAAAAAAAAGATGAAAATCAACAAACCTTTAATTTTGCAATTATTTTCATGTGGAATCTTGGATATCCCATGTAAGAAGCCAGTCATCTTGCCACAACTGAAATTCTAGCAAGAACTGTGATTTTTTTTCCCCAAAGCTATTACAAAGGAATGGTTGTTTATAAGGTTCTTGATGCTCTCGGAGCTTGTTTTCTTGCTGATGTTTCACTACCCTATTAGGTTACATGATCAGCACTGATGATGTTACCTAGTTGGGTAATGAAAGGTATGTAAGAAAACAACCAAGCTCAGAGAGCACCAAGGACATTTTATTTTAACCCTGAGCTATAAGTATTATCTTCTATTGCAATTACTATTTTGTTTAATGCTGGGGAAGACACTGGGCACCAACGAAAGTTCGAGAGTTAAATTGCCTCTAGATATTCTGTCATGGCTGACACCTTTGCACCGAGTCAAACCACCTTTTCATGCAGCTGTAACCTGCCTCTTTTAACCAGCAGTATCTGCCCAGCTTTTCAAAACAGGATAAAGAAGATGTGCAGAAATGAATAGGTTAACACTGAGAATAAAAGATAAAGAGGAATTGGTGTATTTCAAGACATGGGGACGATTTTATGTATGGTTAGAAAAGAAATAAGAATAAAAGATTATAGAGAAATAAATTAGATAAGGTATAAGTAAATGAGAGAGAAGACAAATAGAAACTATTCTAAGAAATAGAAACTCAGAAGACACCTGTGTAAATGGAAAAGGGGAAGGGGGGGGAGAAGAAAATGTTATTATAGAAATGTACATTTATGATGATATGTGTGAATTCAGTAAAATGAAAAAGTAATTGAAAAGAAAGTAAAAATCGGGATTGCTCGAATACCACTTTGGAAAATACTAAATTGTATTCAACACTAGAGAGAGAATGGAGAGGGACAGAGGAGAGAAGAGAGGAAGGAGACAGAGGGAAAGAAGAAAGGGAAAAGGAGAGGAAGAAAGAGAAGGGAAACAAGAGTAGGAGAGAAGGTTAGAAGGGAGGAAGAAGGGAGGTTTGGGGGAAAGGAAGGGGAAATAGAGAAGGAGAAGGAGAGGAGGAAAGAAGAAAGTAGAAGAGTAGATGGAAGAAGGGAGGGAAAGGAAAGAGAGGAGAGGGAGAAGAAGGATTGTTGTAAAACAAGGGAGATGAAATGGTAGAAGAGCAACCCCGAATAAACTGTATTAGTATGAAAGTTAAAAGAAAATATGTATGTTAGATAAGAAATTGTACATTTAAAATATGTTTTTGAGAAGAACAAAAATATTTTTTTAAAAAAACAAAAAAACAAAACAAAAACAGGATGTGTTGTTCCAGGCCTGGCTTGAGCTGACGAGGTCAACTCTTTCTGGTCCTTCTAGGACAGGAGTGTCAAACTCGATTTCATTGAGGGCCACATCAGGGTTGTGTTTGATCAGGGGGGAGGGAGGGGGCATGGCCAGCTCGATGTCACTCGTGTTGGGGGCACCTGTAGTGGCCTGAGCATTTTGCCACCGAAAACGGGCTCCCGAGCTCCATTTCCGGCTGCGATGGCCTCCTGCAACCCTCTACCAGCCAAAATGGAGCTCTGTTTTCACTGGCAGAGGCACTGCAGGCCGGTTTTTTATTATTTCCAGGGTGGCCCCATGGGCCAGATCTAAGCACCCCGCAGGCCAGATTCAGCTTGTGGGCCTTCAGTTTGACTCCCCTGTTCAGGGGTGGGCTTCAAAAATTTTAGCAAGGGGTTCTCTGCCCAGTTGGGTGGGCATAGCCATGGTGGCCATGGCCTAGTTGGCCACCTGCACCACGGCAGGGTTGGGGGCGTTTTTGCCACCCTGAGGCTCTGGAGGGTTTCCTTGAGCCTCTGGGAGGGCTAAAACAGCCTCCCCAGGTTTCCTGAACTTCCGGTAGGCCCGTTTTTCGCCCTCCCCAATTCCCCCACACACGCCCTGCACTTACCTGCATCTAAAATGGGCCACATGGGGACTCCTGGGAGGGGCGGGGCTGCATGGGCGGGTCCAGCCAGGAGTGGGATTTGGGGATTCTCCGAACTGTACAGAATCTTAGCTAGAGGTTCTCCTGAACCCATGCGAACCCCCAGGAGCCCACCACTGCCCCTATTCTAGGAGCTTTTTCATTTCTTCGCCCCTCCCATGTGCTCTACTCACTTACTTTAGCACTTCTTCTCTGCACTGCTTCTGAGGGGCAAAGCACGCGATGGCCCACACTTTGATCTCGATCCCATTGTAGAACTGCTTCCCTCGCATATCCCAGACCCCCTGATTGGGCGTGGCGATGGCACGATTCTGTGGGAGGAAATCGCTTTTTTTAAAAAAATAAAACTGTAGGAGGAGAAGAGACAGAGTCAAGAGAGGAATCAGCCTGGAATCATAATGTTGCCACAAGTGATCCAAGTCCCACCCCGCCTTGAATTCCACCGACTCCTATCTAGGCCCAATTTAGTTAGCTGATTCTTGTGTATAAAAGGTAAAGGGACGCGGTAGCTCAGTGGCTAAGACACTGAGCTTGTCGATCAAAAGGTCGACAGTTCAGTGGTTCGAATCCCTAGTGCTGCGTTAACAGGGTGAGCTCCCGTTACTTGTCCCAGCTTCTGCCATCCTAGCAGTTCGAAAGCAGGTAATAAAAAATGCAAGTAGAAGAAAAGGGACCACCTTTGGTGGGAAGGTAACAGTGTTCCGTGCACCTTTGGCATTGAGTCATGCTGGCCACATGACCATGGAGACATCTTCGGACAGCGCTGGCTTTTCAGCTTTGAAATGGAGATGAGCACCGCTCCCTAGAGTCGAAAACGACTAGCACATACTGTATTTTTCAGAGTATAAAATGCACCTTTTTCCCCCTAAAAGGGGGTGAAAATTTAGGTGCGTCTTATACACCGAATGTAGCCCTGACCACTCACTGGCCCCCACCCTGTGGCCTCTGCCTCGCAGCAGTTACCTCTTTGCATGCAAACAGCAAGAAAAAAACAGCTCCTTTCAGCTTCAGCACAGCCTAATTAGCAGAAGTTGATTGGATCTGCCTCCCGACTCTCAGCTGTTTGCTCTCAGCTGTTTTGCGCAGGGCTCTGCTGCTTGCTGCAAAGAGGTAAATTGCTGGAGCAGATTTTTTTTCTCCTTGTGCTAATCAAGCTATGCTGAAAATGAAAATGAAAGTAAAGCAGGCTGTTTGCTTTTTTCTGCAACGAGGCAAAATTGCTGGGAGGCAGAGGCAGATTTCTTTTTCTTGTTTTCCTCACCAAAAAAGGTAGGTGCGTCTTATACACTGGCGCGTCTTATACTCCGAAAAATACGGTATGTGCGAGAGGAACCTTTACCTTTATTCCTTTGCTCCTGACAAAATCCATACAATGCTTGTGAATAAAAGCAGCCCAGAGGCTCCTTACTACTCACCCGGCCTCCATATTGTAAAATTGGGGCTGGCAAGACCCGCCCGGTCACTTCGGTCATGTCATCTTTCACTTTGATGCCAAACTCTTGTATGTATGGATCCAGGTTGTAACTGGCATTTTTCATCTGCAAGACAAAGGGAGGTTGAAGTTTTCAAGCAAGCTAGTCTCTTTAGGGCAGTAGTTCTCAATGTTGGAACTTCAGGACAGGTAGACTTCAACTCCCACAAATCTTGCCGAGTTTGAGAAACGCTGCTCTAGGGAATAGGCCCCCCAAAAAGGCTACTTCCTAGACTCTTGGGTTATTTATATCAGCCTTGTTGAAATGGGCATCCTCTAGATCAGAGGTGGAGAAAAATGGCCCCTTGTGGACTTGTGGACTTCAACTCCTAGAACTTGTGGACTTCAACTCCTAGAACTTGTGGACTTGTAGACTTCAACTCCTAGAATTCCTGAGCCAATATGGGTCCATAAGTCATAAAAGAGCCATCATTCCCCACCCCTGCTCTAGATGATATGAGACTGAGTCTCTCATAATTCTCAGATGTCTCAACAATTCTGGAAGAAGTTGGTGAAGACTAACCTAATTAAGGGACGCAATTAGAGAGGACTTGCTGGAAAATGGAAGCCATCTTATTGAACAATAACTTCTCTCAAGCTTGGACAACACAGTCAACATCTCCAACTAAGGGCCCATCAAGTTATCCACATCTGGCTATAAGCATCCAAAGGATCATCTCTTCCTTCTTCTACCCAGCATACTATATTATTACTCTTATAGCACCTGCATTAATACTAAACCCTGCAAAAAGAAAGGCTGAAGCCGGGAAGTCCTCAATGTACGACCGCAATTGGGATTGACGCATTCATCAAATGAGTTGCGCCTGATTTTATAACCTTTTTGCAGCCATTATTAAACAAATCACATGAGTGTTAAGTGAATCATGCTGTTAAGCAAATCTTAGAATAACTTTATTGTCAGTTTAAATATACAGTAATCGGCATACATTAAAATGAACTTTCATTGCATACAAAGGATCACAACCTCCAATATACATTACATAAACATAACAAAAATACAAATAAATAAATAAATACAAAATTATGCATATAGCCACATGTATTTTATGCCACAAAGGAACAACACAGTCTAGTTTGGATGTATACATGTACATGGTGAGGAAAGCGAATCTTGCAAATTTGCCAGATGGATGGCGTAGGGAACAAAGCTGTTATAGAATCTGGTAGTCCTGCTAGAACTACTTCGAAACCTCCTCCCAGAGGGGAGCAATAGAAACAGACAGTGAAGTGGGCATGTGGGGTCTCTAACAATGCTTTGAGCTCTAAGCACATAGCGATTATAAAACAGTATCCTGAATAACGGGAAGTGAGCTTCCTATAATCTTCTCCACTGTCCTCACCACTCTCTGTATGGACTTTCTATCTGAGGCACAGCTGCCACCAAACCAAACAGTGATGCAGTTTGTTAAAACGCTCTCAACTGTGCCTCTGTAAAAAGTGGCCAGGACAGAAGGAGAAAGATGTGCTCTCCTCATCCAACGTAGCAAATGCAGAGGCTGGTTTGAACACTTCCCAGATTTTGATTTTGCTTGTCAGAAGCCCGTGCAAGGAATGGTGATAAATCACATTTTTCAGCAGCATGGTAATTTTGAACAGCAGTTAAATGAATGGTTGTAAAATGAGGACCACATGTACACACTGAAGTGTACACAGCTGGTATGCTATTAGCCAGAGCCAAGAATTAAACTCCTGCACTCTCTTCCTTCTAAATTGCAACAGCACTGAGCTCTGACCTTCTTACCACCCTCATACAAGCACAAAGAAGGTCACCTCCCATGGTTCCTACGAAAGGAAGTGGTACTTACCAACCGACTAATTTCTTCTTGCCTGTCAGGAGCAGATCGCGCCGTAGCTTTGATCATGGTAGACGTCTGATTGTCTGTCAGTTTTTTGATGCACCGCTGGCCAGCCACAATGTTACACACCTGGAAAGTAGGCAAGGAGGAGGCAGGTATTTGTTTAAAGCGACCACTTTTCCTTGAACTCAAAAGGGGATGAAAACAATGATTTTGTGTTTTGTGTATTGTCCTGATTTTGCTGGTTTGAGGATAATAAAGCTAGTTGTGACAACGCATCACATTAAGAGTTGATTTGCTTCGTTTTACTTGGCTGGATGTGGTTCTGTTCCTCAAGCCTACACAGCAAACTCAGCTACAGATTAGGGTTTAAAAACCACAAAGATTGGATTCACACAACATGCCGAGCCAAATTCCAACATGTCACATGATGGTTGTTATCCAGCTCCACAAAGCATCTCTTTCTCACACAAGTACTTTGATGACAGCAGCAGCAACAAAAATATTAACAGAAGATTCTGATTTATTTACTTGCTTGTATTTTATATTACTTCAATATCATTCAATAACTGACTTCAGTCAATTATTATTCTACTTTTATCTTCTATATTTCATTCATTCTTCTTGCTTGCTATATATCTTACATTTGCATTTCCAAACGGACATGTATGTGTTTTTTATTCACATTTTAATATCTATCACTGCCTAGCGACCATATTGCTGCTTAAAGTTATTTGATTTGATACTAATGGTGAGAGATCATTATAGACAGAAATCGTGCCAAACTAAAGCAACTAAAGCAACTACTTGCATCATTAAAGCTAAGACTTTGAGAACTTCTAAGGAGGAGCCGCCTTGACTCTCTTTCTCTTAATCAAACTATCTAAACTTTGCTGTCTCTTGTCTATCGAGATTCTCAGCCATCCAAGCCATGATTGTCCCAAAGGTGCTTTTTCAAGAGGCAACTGGGTTTCCTTTGTTTTTCTTTGAAGATGTTTTGCTCCTCATCCAATAAGCTTTTTGAGTTCAGAATCGAAGAAGCAGTGTTGAAATGTAAAATTTGTTACTACCGGTTCTGTGGGTGTGGCTTGATGGGAGGGGGTAATGTGACTGGGTGGGCGTGGCCAATTTTTTTTTGTTTTTTTACTTTTAAAACCATTTTTTCTACAACCTCTTCGGCTGAAGAGATTGTAAAAAAATACTTTTAAAAGCCTCTGACGATCCCAGCTGAGCTGCCTGATCCTCAGAGGCTTTTTTTTTCTTTTAAAAGCCTCTGACGATCCCAGCTGAGCCACACGATCATCAGAGGCATTTTTTTTTACTTTTAAAAACATTTTTTCCGCCGAAGAGGTTGTAGAAAAAATGCTTTTAAAAATTAAAAAAAAAAGTCTCTGATGATTGTGCAGCTCAGCTGGACATGGGGGAGGGGCAGGGATTTTTGCTACAGGTTCTCCGAACCACCCGCCGCCATCGCTACTGGATCAGGCGATCCGGTCTGAACCGGGAGCATATCACGCCTGCGAAGAAGCTTCCTGGATGAGAAGCGAAACATCTTCAAGAAAAAACAAAGAAAGCCCAGTTGCCTCTTGAAAAAGCCACCTTTGGGACTTTGCTGCAGTGATGAAATCCAATTTTTTTTACTACCGGTTCTGTTGGCGTGGCTTGGTGGGCGTGGCTTGGTGGGCATGGCAGGGGAAGGATATTGCAAAAACTCCATTCCCACCCCACTCTGGGGCCAGCCAGAGGTGATATTTGCTGGTTCTCCAAACTACTCAAAATTTCCGCTACCGGTTCTCCAGAACCTGTCAGAACCAGCTGGATTTCACCCCTGCTTTGCTCTCTCTTGGTCCTACTGAATGCAGCCCCTCCCTCCTGGGAATCCAGACTACATTCCATCCCATGGGAGATGGAAGGGGTCACAGCAAAGAATAGAGTGTGACTGCACCAGTAAGGTTCTGTACGGGAATTACCCTTAAGCCTCCCTGCCCAGAACTACCACCAACCCAGCCCCAGGCAGATGCTCTTAACCTCCAGAGGCAGATAGGTGTGTTTTTGCTCTTGGCCGACTTGAAGACAGGGCAGGTGGGGGTACTTCAACTGGAGGTTGTACTTCTGCTTGAAGTATTGTGCAACGGTGCATTCCACTGTTTGTCCGCTCTCCAGCTGCAAAGGAAACCTGTACAAAGAGAACAAGAGCGCCCTTAGAGACCCAATGCCCACATATGAAAAGAGATTCAGCTTCACTCCTCTGAGGCCTCCAGAGACCCCCACCAGCACAGCAACCCCCAACCTTTGGGGCACCAGGGACCAATTCCGTGGAGAGAGGTTTTTCTGCAGACCGAAGGGGGCATAGTTTCGCTTGCTGCCTGCATCCCGTGTGTTGTGGGCTGGCGGTGGCCGGCAGAGCTGGCAGCAATCGGACAGTGAGGAAGTGGTGGAGGAACTTGGGCCAGTCCTGGGGGCTGGGGAAAGCTCAGACGAGGGCTCTGCATCAGAGGCAGAGAGGGAGCCAAGGCCATCTGATAGTTATGTACAGCCTCCAGAGTCTGACAGCAGCGAGGCAGAAGAACAGTAGGAGCCTGTTCCTAGTGTGGACCTGTGCAGAGCTGCCAGACGACAAGAACAATTAAGAAAACAGGGTCGACTTGGGAGTAAGGCTTGGAGATGATTGGCCCCTCCCATAAGGCATAAAAGAAGAGCAAACGAGACGTGAGCTTTTGCAGGAAGCAATTACTTCATCTGGCCGATTCAAGATTTGAAAAGTCTGTTTGTGACTCTGTGCCAAGTTTGGCCTTGCCCTGCGTCTGGAAATTAGCTCTCTGGCAGCGTTCCATGTGAGATAGGTGGGTGTTGATAACTTTCCTCTGAAAGATTGATTATCAAGCCTTGCGGACTGTAAATGAAAGGAATTTACAGTCGTATAAATAAAAGAGGTTTTTCGGGACCAAGATTGTGCTTTATACTTTCAAAGGAAGCCTAGGTCAGAACACGGCCCGGTTGCTGGCATGCCACAAACTGGTACCAGTCCACGGACCTGGGGTTGGGGATCCCTGCACCAGGACATCCAAAGGACAAAACCTGTATTGCGTTATCACAACACAAGCTCGCCTTACAAAACTGCACGCATGAGTGTAAAAGGCAGAGTTTGTGTTCTTGGTACAGGTAGTCCTCGTTAAGCGACTGCCTCAGATAGCGACCGTTTGCAGCTATGATGGTGATAAAAAAGCAACTTTGCCACCGACATCTGCATTTATGACCTTCGCAGGTCCGTAAAGAAAAAGAAAAGCTAAAGGAAGGTTATAAGAAGCACAGTTGTGGTTTCATGTTCACTTTGCTGAACAACTGACCTGCCGGTCCCAACTGTGGTCACTAAACGAGGACTACCTGCATATGTTTCTTCACTCAATTGCTCCTGCCTTACGTTTGGTGACTAGCTGGACGCCGAGTGACATTACAGACGCGGTATTTCCTCTTCATTTGTCCACAGTGAGTAACTTCCACTTTCAAACCTAGAGAAAGAGAAGATTTAAGTTTACAAGGAATTGTAGTGTTGGTTTCATTCAAAGCTGTCTCCTTCCTCCATTCTATTTTAGTTGTTGTTGTTGTTGTTGTTGTTGTTATTATTATTATTATTATTATTAATTCAATTTGTATGCCGCCCCTCTCCGAAGACTCAGGGCGGCTCACAATGCATTTAAAATCATTATAAAAAAACATTTAAAAATTAAAAACATTAAAAACATTAAAACCCATTCACACCATTCATGGCCGGATCTCGTCAGATTGCAAAGCAAGATCAATGGCCCCAGGCCTGCCAGAAAAGCCAGGTCTTCACCGCTTTTCGGAAGGCCAATAGGGTGGGGATGGTCCGGACTTCAGGAAGTAACTGGTTCCAGAGAACTGGGGCAGCCACAGAGAAGGCCCTCCCTCACGGGCCCGCCAGCCGGCATTGTTTAGCTGATGGGACCTGGAGGAGACCAACTCTGTGGGATCTTACCAGTCGCTGGGAGCTATGCAGTAGAAGGCGGTCTCGAAGATACCCTGGCCCTGAGCCATGTAGGGCTTTAAAGGTAATGACCAACACCTTGAATTGTGACCGGAGACCAAGAGGGAGCCAGTGCAGCTCGCGGAGAATTGGTGTAATGTGGGTGTACGTAGGTGCACCCACGACAGCTCGCACGGCTGCGTTCTGGACCAACTGTAGTCTCCGAACACTTTTCAAGGGTAGCCCCATGTAGAGCCCGTTGCAATAATCTAACCGTGAGGTGACAAGGGCATGAGTGACCGTGAGGAGAGCCTCCTGATCCAAGTAGGGTCGCAATTGGTGCACCAGGCGAACCTGTGCAAAGGTCCCCCTAGGCACAGCTGTCAGATGTTGCTTTAATCTTAGCTGTGAGTCTAGGAGGACACCCAAATTGCGAGCCCATTCTGAGGGGGACAATTTCTCCCTCCCCCAAGAACCAAGGAATCTGTTAATCTGTTTTAGTTTATATCTCCATTAAAATTACAATCCAGTAGCATTTAATGAATAGCAGATGTAAGGTTCTGATTTCAACAAGTACAAATACTTATTCTATTCAGAGATTCATTCTTGCATGAAACTCTGAAATTACAAGATTTTCTTTTATTAGAATACCTCACAAAAGAATGATTCCTTAATCATGTTTATATTCAACATGTTTTCCTCAATACTTAATGGCAATTATTATTACATGCACTAAAACTGGAACATGAGAGCAAAGTTATCCCAAAGTTGTGGGATTCCATCAGTTGATAGAATTAGATATTAGAAAAATCTTTTCATACTTGCTTATTTTACCATCCGTACTCTACGGATTTCAAAAAATGCTTATTCTGGAATTCATGTTGCTGATGAATTGTTTCATTATAAACAAGAAATAACTAAGCAACTCCCCTCCCCAAAATTAAAAGAGTTAATTTTGGACTGAGAAGGTAAATAAATCCTCCAAATAAATAAATACGAGTTTTTTAAAAAATATACAGTCCAACTCCTAATATACGTATTTGAGGGAGGGAAGGGAAAGCAGAGGTATCTCAGCCTCCAATCATCCTTTTCCAAGAAAATATGCTCGTGAAGAAAATCAACAGGAATGTGCCACAAGCTGTCTGGAAACTGTCGGTCCACAGAATCAGACAGACAATAAGAAAGCCTTGCCAATTTAGAAACAACTTAATTTTTAATTTCATCCAGTACCAGCACTCCTCATATCAGTTAAAAAGAAAGAGATGGAACACAAATTGGTGGAGAAAAAAAAAGGGTAATCAGGAACATTCCCACATTTGGAAGTGGAAGATATGGAAGTGATGATGGTGGGCGGAACAGGGAATGACTGTGGCATGAGATAATTCTTTTTCATACATATAATCCAGTGGTGAAATCTAAATTTTTTTACTACCGGTTCTGTGGGCTTGGCTTGGTGGATGTGGCTTGGTCGGGGTGGCAGGGGAAGGATACTGCAAAATCTCCATTCCCACCCCACTCCAGGGGAAGGATACTACAAAATCCCCATTACCTCCCGAGTCCTGGGGGAAGGATATTGCAAAATCTTCATTCCCACCCCATTCTGGGGGCAGCCAGAGGTGGTATTTGCCGGTTCTCTGAACTACTCAACATTTCTGCTACCGGTTCTCCAGAACCTGCCAAAACCTGCTGGATTTCACCCTTGATATAATCCTCTACTATCTACCTCTCTTCACTTATTTTCACACAAAGACCTTACCATTCAAGCCGATATCCCCATAATCTGAGCCCTGTGGCGCAGTGGTTAGAATGCAGTATTGCAGGCTGACTCTGCCCACAGTGTGGAGTTTGATCCTGGCAGGGTTCACGGCTGACTCAGCTTTTCATCCTTCTCAGGTCGGTAAAACATTATGGGGTAGTACCATGATGGCGAACCTATGGCACATATTGGTGGGCAGGCGAGCTCAGCTCCGGCCCTTCTGGGCCCACCAGAATTAGGGAAACAGGCTGTTTCCTGCCTCCAGAAGGCCTCGGTGTGTGGGGGGGGGGCGGGGGGGAAGGCCCGTTTTTTGCTGACCCCAGGCTCCAGAGCCTTTTTAGGAGTCTGGGGAGGGCGAAAACGGCCTTCCCCCACCCCCCGGAGACCCTCTGGAGGCCGGAAACAGCCCGTTTGCCAACTTCCGCTCCCACAATATAAACTTTCTAAAATAAATAAATAAATAAATGCAAGTCAATGTTGTTTCCTAGCAATTGCCAGGTAAATCTCTACCGTCGTCTCAGAAATCCCCCCTGCCTTTATGCTTTACCTTTGATTTCCTTTGTGAACCGAACCCTCTGAGAGTCGGTCAGGGGCTTTGGCTGCTCGTCGATGTTCCGGATGTCCAGCACTTCACACATGAATTCAATCACCGGTTGGGCCTTGTAGAACGCTGTGGCAGACACTAAAACCGAGAAAGGTACACGTGAATCACAACAGTAATTGTTTCTTGAAAACGTTTGAAACACCCTTGTTCAAACTAACCAGTCCACAGCTATCCTTGCAGGGTATCTACCTGGTTTCCCCCAAAATAAGACATCCCCTGATAATAAGCCCAATCGGGCTTTTGAGAACATGGCAATAAGGCCAAGCGCTTATTTCAGGGTTCAAAAAAAAATATAAGACTGGGTTTTATTTTCGGGGAAATACAGTACAATTTTATCATTCTTATCCAAACACTTTATATAAGAATTAAGCTCCTTCATTCTCTTGCTATACCTTTTCAAATTCTTAATACCAACGAGTCACTCCCAATGAAAAGCTCTTCCTCTAGGCCAGGGGTCTGCAACCTTAAATACTCAAAGAGCCTTTGGACCCGTTTCCCACAGAAAAGAAAACACCGGGAGCCACAAAACCTGGGTGGGCGTGGCCAACTCGATGTCACTCACTTCCACCAGTCACATGACCCATCCCCCTAGCCATGCCTACCCAGCTGGTCATTGGGGCATAGAAGCAATTGTTAAAAAACACCGGGAACCAGACAATCCTTTTGACATCTCTCTCTCTCCCCCCCTCTCACTGTATCTCTCTGTCTCTGCCCTGGCCGCTTCTCCATCCCCCGCTGTCGCCCTTACCTTCTCAGGCCAGGCGAGAAGTGATTGGAAGGGGACGGCGAGGGGCGGGGCCAGCCAATGGTGGGATCACCTGACAGGGAGCCACAGGGCCGCATGTGGCTCCGGAGCTGCATGTGGCTCCGGAGGGCCCAAAGAGCTGCATGTGGCTCCGGAGCCGAGGTTGCTGACCCCTGCTCTAGGCACTTAACATTTTTAATTTTATTTCTTTTAATAACAGATACGTAGTTTATTCTATTGTAATGTTAATGGCTAGGGAACCAAAGCCTACTCTCTAACTTCTAGAAGAGTTAATCAACTATATCTTCTAGAATTCATCAGGATCCCTTTTTTTTAACTACAAATTTAACTACAAAGGATCTTTTTTTAACTACAAATTCTACAAAAGTCTTTTTTCCCCCTAAAAATAAAGGATGACATTTGAGTCTCTTTAAGAAGTCCAAATTTTTTGTTGATCCCATGTAACACACACACAAAACCAGATCAAAATCAAGAACTTTACCCCCGAAATCACTCTAAAATACATATTAAAAGAATGATGAGTCTTCCAAAGAACATGAAATGTTACTAAAGTTGTTTAATTAAATGTTTTCCTTCTCTGGTCTTTCCAGAAATTCCTCCCATAGATTTCTTAGCGAGACCCTTTCACAAGCTGTCAAACAACTTTGCACTGAGATTATCAAAATAAAACATTTGCAATGCAACCTGAAATATGAGGGGAAAGGAGCAGTGGAGCATCCTTTCATCCAACGTTATCCCGACGTGTTGGATTTCGCTCATTGGGGAATTATGGAAATGGACATCTGTCTAACAGCCATGCTCAACCTCAGCAGCATTAAGATGTGTGGACTTCAACTCCCAGAATTCCCTAGAATTCCCCAGGATGAAGGTCACACATGTTAAAATTCTGGAGACTGAATAACGCATCTGACCCATATTAGACGTGGGATGGCTGTACAGAACAATGAGCTTCTCATAGACTCTTATTGAGATATAGGTAGCCCTCAACTTACAATAGTCTGTTTAGTGACCGTTCGAAGTTACAACGGCACTTAAAATAATGATTTATGACCATTTTTCACACTTTGTTCTGCCCCAGCTACAGACCCCAAAGAACACAGCACACGCAAAGTCCGTTCAAACTTTAGTTTACTGAATAAATCAGTCTTTTACAACAACGGCTGTTAATTAATTGCATTAACAGCCGCCAAGAATTCAAAGAATAATAAATAAAAACTTACTATGGTTGGCAGAATGCCCAGAAGCAATTTGCAGGAAGCTGATAAGATAAGCAAGACGAGACAAGTATGGAAGGTATGTGAACTAAGTTATTCCCTGCAAATTGCTTCAGTCGCGTTCCTCCTTAGATAGGCTAAGGGAGTGGCCAATTAGCCCCAAGCCTTACTCTCGAGGAGACCTCCTCCTGAGGAGCCACTCCTGCCTTTGGGCAGCTCTGTGCATCGAGAAGAGGCTCCTCCTCTTCGTCCTCTTCACTTAAGGGAGCTTCTGGAGGTTCTGAAGGCCCTGGCTGAATCCCCGCCTCTGGCACCACATCTTCTCCAGCCTCCTCACTGTCTGACTAGAGTGCCAGCTGCACAGGCTGCTGGCACAGCACCACAACAGCCTCCTCGCTGTCGGAATCAGCTACTAGCCACACAAGCCGCATACGGACCACAACACACTTATGATCATTGCACCATCCCCAGGGCCACATGATTTACATTCGGATGCTTGACAACTAACTTCTATTTATGACAGTTGAGGTCCCCGGGTCACGCGATCCCCTTTTGCAGCCTTCTGTCAAGCAAAGTCAATGGGGAAGCCAGATTCACTTTACAACCATGTTACTAATTTAACAACCGCAGTGATTCACTTAACAAAAGCGGCAAGAAAATTCGTAAAATGGGGCAAAAGTCATTCAACAAATTTCTCACTTAGCAAGATAAATTCTGGGCTCCATTGTGGTTGAGGACTACCTGTAGGTATGACTTCAAACTGAGACGTGTCAGTATTATTACCGTCTATGTTAAGCATCATCTTCCACATGGCAGGCCTGACAGACTGATGGAAGCCAAACCAGACTTCCCGACCTCCTCCCAGCGGGTGATAGTATCCTTCAGGGGGAGAGAAGAAGGAGCGTCCTACTGGAGTGTACCTGGGAAGATCATTAGAAAGAAGGAACCATATTATATGCTCATGAAAGCTAACAACTTCGATTTCAGCTGAGGCCCAACAGAATCCATATTTTTCTCATTTTCTTATCTTCTTCTAAGAAGATGCAAAGCCCAGATCCTGTCTCCATATCTAGCAATTATTGAAACATTTATATAATACTGGTGTTTTTATATCTCATTTCAGTGAAATGTATACATGAGAACTCTTTATTTTGTCCTTTCATTCCCTAAAAATTCTGGGAGATGATCTTCTGAAGAGATTCTTGATCTTTATTCATGGTGCCCCCCCCCAACCCAAATTAAAATACAAGAAGATGCATGTTAAGTCAACCGATTACTGAATGGAAGTGAATAATGGTAACAGACACATCTCAAGCTAGTTATGAGCACCTTCTTGGTAATTTGTCTTTCAAAAATATGAAAAAATCCAGATTTTACCTCATGGAAGCCAGGTGCCTCATGGCGACATCAAGGGCCTGGACAGATTCCAAAGGAACAGGGATTTGCCCGCTCACTAGAGCTTCATGGAGCATCCGCCAACTCACAATGGCCATCCATTTAATGGAGACCTTAAATATTCGGTCTTTGCCTTCCCCTGGAATTGTCACCTCAAAATCAACCTGCAAAAGACCAAGGAAACAAGACGAACCCTTGAATTTCGGTTTCCTTCCCCTAAATCCAAAAATGTCAACTTGCTGTCACCTGCTTTGCATATTCCTGGAACAATCCAAATTTTAAACCTAGAATTCTCTTGGGAAAAAAACGAACATCTGTTCTTTCTGAATCACAGCCATGTATAACAAACAAGAAACAGCAAGGAAGTACGCATGCTATTACAGGTGGTTCTCGACATAGAATCGTAATGGAAACTGCCCATCATGGTCATCACTCGTAATGGCCATAAAATGGGTCAGTCATGTGGGCAACCGACTTTGACAAACTTTTTTTGCAGTGGTCGTTAAGAGAACCATTGGAAGTAACTGCCAGTTTTCAGCAAAATTGTCCTAAAACATGGTCATATGATCACTGGATACTACAAACTGATGCAAGTGCGACTCGTTGTAACTCAAGGACTATCAGTGCTTATTTGTTAGATTACCATCTTTCCTCCTTAGATTTTTTTTCCACATAAACATCCTGTGAGGTACGCTGGTTTCAGAGTGAGCAGGCTGAGAGTGAGTTTCCATGGCTGGGTAGATGAATTTCTTCCTAGTTTAACGTCTTAACTATGACATTATCCTGGCTGGGACTTCACATGTGCAAATATTTCTTGCTTTCAGAAAAAGAACACTGAGGTTTGTCTAAATTTTAGGGGATGTCAAATTTTTCAACTTTCAATTTCCAAACATTAAAGGTAAAGGTTCCTCTCGCACATATGTGCTAGTCGTTCCCGACTCTAGGGGGCGGTGCTCATCTCCGTTTCAAAGCCGAAGAGCCAGCGCTGTCTGAAGACGTCACCGTGGTCATGTGGCCGGCATGACTAAACGCCAAAGGGGCACGGAACGCTGTTCCCTTCCCACCAAAGGTGGTCCCTATTTTTCTACTTGCATTTTTTACGTGCTTTTGAACTGCTAGGTTGGCAGAAGCTGGGACAAGTAACGGGAGCTCACCCTGTTACGCGGCGCTAGGGATTCGAACTGCTGAACTGCCGACCTTTTGATTGACAAGCTCAGCATCTTAGCCACTGAGCCACCACGTCCCACTTTAGACATGCCTTGGGCACTGTAAAGATATTTTTGGTTACTTTAATATAATTTAGATGTGCTTGGTAAGTAACTACATAAATACCATAACTTTTTAACATTTTGTTTGTTTCATTTGTTGCATCTGCTTTTTTTCCTAATGGAAAATATTTTGAATTCATCACTTTCTGAGTTAAAAGCAGCCCAAACTTACAAAAGCGTTCCGACCACATCAGAAGAACACTGAGCTCAGAGTAGCTCCAGTATGTTCAGAATCTCTCGTACTGTTAGACAATCTACCGTGTTTCCCTGAAAATAAGACCCTGTCTCAGTGATGAAATGTAAAATTTGTTACTACCGGTTCTGTGGGCATGGCTTGGTGGGGAGGGTGGTAATGTGACTGGGTGGGCGTGGCCAACTTTTTTTTTTTTTAACCTTTTAAAAGCATTTTTTCTACAACCTCTTTGGCCGATGTTTTTAAAAGCCTCTGACGATCCCAGCTGAGCAGCACGATCATCAGAGGCTTTTTTTTTTTACTTTTAAAAGCATTTTTTCGGCCGAGGAAGTTGTAGAAAAAATGCTTTTAAAAATAAAAAAATAAAAAGCTTCTGATGATTGCGTAGCTCAGCTGGGCATTGGGGGGGGAGGGCAGGGATTTTTACTACTGGTTCTCCGAACCACCCCCTGCCATCATTACTGGATCAAGTGATCCAGTCCGAACCGGGAGCATTTCACCCCTGCCCTGTCTTATATTTTTTGAACCCCGAAATAAGGACTTGGCCTTATTTTCAGGGAGGCCTTATTATTTTGGGGCGCGTGGACCAAGACGGGGCTCCTGTTGCCGTCTTACTTGATTTCCAGCTCTGTCTCCCTAACCCTAACCAGAGGAAATGGCGGGGACTGGCTGTGCATGCGTTTAAATATTTTTGGGGAGGGCTTATTTTCAGGGGGAGGGCTTATTTTCAGGGGGGCTTATTTTAGCACATGCGCTCAAAAGCCCAATTGGGGTTATTATCAGGGAATGTCTTATTTTCAGGGAAACAGAGTAGTCTGAATCTAAAAGGTTTTGCACTTGTCTTTTAACTTCTTACCCTTTCGTTACCAATAGGCAGAGCTGTGACGGTGTAGATGTTCTTCTTTCCATCGTAAACCGGTTTCCGATCTCCAAAGATCTGAGGTTTGAAGTGTTGTACCATATATTCCACAACCTCCCTGCAAAAATAAAAAAAAAGCAACAGACAGACATCGGACGGGGAGAGGAGGAAAGAAAAAGGAGAAGCTAGAAAAGCAGGCTTAAAATATAGTTCGGCTAGGAAGTTAAAATGATTAGAACTGAAAGTCAGAGGGAAAAAAAATCCACTATTTCTCAAGTCACTGGTTGCAGGGGAGAAATTGAAGCTTCGATCTAAAGCAGGCTTAACACAATTGCCTGTTGTGCATGAACCTGGCTGGGCCAAAGACAAACACACGCACACTGAATTTACAAAGTCTGCACTGCCGACCAATAATTTGGAAGGATGTTGTATTTGCCTCGCATCAGTGGTGAAATCCAAATTTTTTTACTACCGGTTCTGTGGGCATGGCTGGGTGGGCGTGGCTTGGTAGGCGTGGCAGGGGAAGGATATTGCAAAATCTCCATTCCCACCCCACTCTGAGGCCAGCCAGAGGTGGTATTTGCCAGTCCTCCAAACGACTCAAAATTTCCGCTACCGGTTCTCCAGAACCTGTCAGAACTGCTTGATTTCACCCCTGCCTCGCATGGATGGTCCCTGAGGGATACTGTTGTAATCAGGGTAGTCTTGCCGGCCAAAATCTTGATTTTTAATGATGCTGCAGAATTATGACTCTTGGTGACATGGTGGTTAGAATGCAGTTCAGTAAAATGGGGACCCAGATTATTGGGGAAAATATGCTGATGTTGTAAACTGCTCAGAGAGTGTTGAGGAGCACTATGGGACAGTATGTAAGTCTAGGGGCTATTGCTATTGCAAATTACTTTTTGTTTAAAAAACCTGCCTAATTTTAGAATAAGAGGAATGCCTGTAAGGTTTTTAACATTGCTGCATAAATTAGCTTGCAAGCATGACGTTGGAAGAGGAAAAAAGGTCCTAACAAGAGTAATAATTGAACGACTATTGAAAAAAGTGTAATAAATATGAAATAAATAGTAGAGCCAAGGCTTTAATATATGTATTGGAAACATTCTTCCCCTACTGAAGTCCACTTAAAGAGATTATGGGGTTGTTATTTTTTAATCTCTGGAGATTTTTAAGAGGCTGAGCAGTCACTTCTCACTTCAATTCTCATCATGATTGTCCTGAAATTGCAGAGGGTTGGACTAGATCAGGGGTCTCCAAACTTGGCAACTTTAAGACTTGTGGACTTCAATTCCAAGAATTCTCCAGCCAGCTATGCTGGCTGAGGAATTCTGGGAGTTGAAGTCCACAAGTCTTAAAGTTGCCAAGTTTGGAAACCCCTGGATTAGATGGTCATCAGGGTCGCCTTCAGATTTAGAAAGTTAAAATCCAAAAGCTTATCTGACTGGATCGGCTAGGGACTATTTGGTCAAGTAACAGTCATAATAATAATAATAATAATAATAATAATAATAATAATAATAATAATTTTATTTCTATACCGCCCTTCTCCCGAAGGACTCAGGGCGGTGTACAGCCTATTTAAAAACAGAATAGACATCAATTTAAAATAATTTAAAAGTATTAAATAAATTTGGCTTAATTTAAAACCCCAAAAGTTTAAAACATCCAATATAAAATTATGTTGCTAACCCTGCCTGGCGGAACAATAGGGTCTTGAGTGCGCAGCGAAATACCCGGAGGTCAGAAATCTTACGAATTTCCGGGGGCAGTTCATTCCACAGGGCTGGGGCTCCCACAGAGAAGGCCCTCCCCCTGGTGTCGCCAGCCGACATGACTTGGCCGATGGCACCCTGAGGAGACCCTCTCTGTGGGAGCGGACTGGTATATTTAATATATAAACTGGATTACACTGGGTTGTGATTTTTCAGCCCAGGGGGTGCCAAAAATCTCAGAAGGGTCTGCAACTTACATCTTACAGTTGCAGCTGCCCTCTTGCCTTTTTTGACTCAACTTATGACCAGTTGCTTAATGACCATTCCAAATTATGACAGGCATCCCTAAAGTTACTTATGACCCATTTTCAGAGTTACAACAGCTGTACACTTGATTGCATTTTGGACCCTTGGCAACTGGTTCACCTTTAGGGCCATAAGTGTGTGTGATTCGTGACATTTTAGCCACTTTCCAGGGTTTACTTCCAGCAAAAAAACATCCATTGGGGAAAATGGATTCACTTAACGCCTGAAGAGGTCAGTTAATCTTCGAGACCGCCTTCTACTGCATAGCTCCCAGCGACCGGTAAGATCCCACAGAGTTGGTCTCCTCTGGGTCCCGTCAACTAAACAATGCCAGCTAGCAGGTCTGCGGGGGAGGGCCTTCTCTGTGGTTGCCCCAGCTCTCTGGAACCAGTTACCTCCTGAGATCCGGACTACCCCCACCCTATTGGCCTTCCGGAAACCGGTGAAGACCTGGCTTTTCCGGCAGGCCTAGGGACATTGATGTAGCTGTTGCAATCTTGCGAGATCCGGCCATGAATGGTGTGCATGGGCTTTTAATATTTTTAAATGTTTTATAAATGTTTTTTAATAATTTTCGCATTATTTTTGTTGTAAGCCATCCAGAGTCCCTTGGGAGTTGGGCGGCATAGAAATGCGATAAATTAAATTAAATTAACGACCATCGTAAAAAAAAAAATACCATATTTTTCGGTCTACAAGATGCATCGGAGTATAAGACACACCAAGATTTCAAAGAGGAAAACAAGAAAAAAAACGTTTTTGGCCTCCCCGGCCCCCAGGAGCATTCTGCGGGCCTCCCAAACCTTCTGCGCGTCCTGTTTTTGTGAAAAATGGCCCGTTTTTCACAAAAACAGGATGTGCAGAGGGTTTGGGAGGCCTGTAGAGTGCTCCTGGTTGCCGGGGAGGGCAAAAACCCGATGTGTGGGGGATTTGGGAGGCGAAAAACAGGCTCGTTTTTCACAAAAATGGGGCACGCAGAGGGTTTGGGAGGCCTGCAGAGTGCTCCTGGAGACTGGGGAGGGCAAAAACGTGTTGTGGGGGGGGCGGGGGGGTTGGGAGGAAAAAAATAAAAACAGCCCTGTTTTTGGCCTCCCAAACCCCCATGCGTCACATTCCCCCCCCCCAGCCCCCAGGAGCACTCTGCAAGCTTCCTAAACCCACTGTGCATCCCGTTTTTGTGAAAAACGGGCCTGTTTTTGGCAAAAATGGGACGAGCGGGGCAGGGTTTCCAAAGGCCAAAAATGGTTATAGTCAGTGTATAAGACGCACCAACATTTCCACTCTCTTCTAGGAAGGAAAAAATTGTGTCTTATACTCCGAAAAGTACAGTAGTTGTTTCAAATCTGGTGTCATGAAGCCTTGACATTTTACGACCATAATTTGGGGCTCAATTATAGTCCTAAATCAAGGACTCCCTGTAGATTCCTGGACTGAGAAGAGACTTGAAAAACAAGGACCAACTCTAGCATTTCAGAAAGCTGTGAGAAGCTTCCTATTTTCACATAAGCTCTCTCAGATCTCTGACCCTCCCAGGTTTAAGACTACAGGAAGAAGGATATTTAAATGGCAGCCCAGCTGTCTAAGAGCAGCTATTTTAAAAGCCTGGGACCACAGCCAGGTCCACCCAGCTGCTGTAAACTGAACGGAGATGGAAGATCAAGGCTCTGTTTTCTCCTGAGCCACCAAGGCATGACCGGAGATGATGAGGGAGGAGAAGGGACATAAAACACCCTGCTTCACAGGAGAGGGGGCATCGAAAAATTTCATCTTACTCCCAGCCAACCTGAGCAAGAACAGCAGTTCCAGTCACGGCAAAGTTGAACGGGGCCAAGCAACCAGGTAGACCGAAAACAGCTCAGCCAAGAAATGGGGCTTCTCAAAACTTGGTAAACAGACAGGAAGAGATGCCTCTACATGCCTTTTTTCTCTTCCTGCCCCCTCCCAGCCCACAGGTACTTCCTCTAGAACAGGGGTGTTCAAACCTTGGCAACTTTAAGATCTGTGTCCCAAAGACTGTTTTTTTTTTCCCCAAAAGACAACTGGACTTTCTTGGGGCTTTTTTTTGCTTGAAGACATTTCGCTTCTCATCCAAGAAGCTTCTTCAGTTCTTCAAGCAAAACAAGCAAGTCCAGTTGTGCCTTTTGAAAAAGTACCTTCGGAACAACTGTGACCTGGATGACTGAGAATCTCCATAGACCAGAGGTCTTCAAACTTGGCAGCTTTAAGACTTGTGGACTCCAACTCCCAGAATTCTCCAGCCAGCTAATTCTGGGAGTTGAAGTCCAAAAGTCTTAAAGCTGCCAAGTTTGAGGACTCCTGCCATAGACATTTAGGACCTGTGGACTTCAACTCCCAGAATTCCCCAGCCAGAATTCTCTGGAATTGGAAGTCCACAAGTTGCCTAGGTTGGACAACCCTACTCTAGAACATGAGGAACATGTTCACCTGAGGTGTTTGGGGGGGGTTTTTGGGGGGGGAGGGCTGGACGGAAGAAGAAATGGCTAAATGCTAATACTTGCCTTACCTGTTGACTCTGCGTGGACACTTGTCCGGCTTGATGTCAACTTCATAGTGATAGACATCGATTTTGGGAATGTCCACCTCAAAGTAATTGGCCAAGAGCTTGATGGGCTTCCCAACAGTTCCTATCCCAGGCCGACGAGGAGCTTGAAATACCTGCTGGAGGGGTGGCAGGTAAGTGCCTGCAGCAACTGCTAAAGAAACAAAAATTGGAAGTGGAGGAGAGAGAGAGAGAGAGAGAGAGAGGTGTGAGAACCAAGCAGCTGAAAAACATTTTAGAGCATCTAGACCCGTGATGGCGAACCTATGGCAGAGCCATATCTGTGGGCACGCGAGCGTTGCCCTAGCTCAGCTCCAGTGTGCACGCATGCGCTGGGAAGCTGATTTTCGGGCCTTCCGGAAGTCAAGAAATGGGCCGTTTCCAGCCTCCGGAGGGCCTCTGTGGGGGGAAGGCAGTTTTCGCCCTCCCCAGGCTCCAAGAAAGCCTTTGGGGCCTGGCGAGGATGAAAAACGGGCCTACTGGGCCCACCGTGCCATCGCGTGCCAAAAGCGGGGGGAGTGTGTGTGTGTGTGTGTTGTGTGCGCATGTGCATGCACGGGGCGCATTGAATTATGGGTGTGGGCACATGCGCACACGACCCCCCCCCCTGCACTCCCCCACTTTTGGCACACGATAGCAAAAAGGTTAGCCATCATTGATCAAGACCACAGGTGTCCAACCTTGGCAACTTTAAGACTTGTGGACTTCAATTCCCAGAATTCTCCAGCCAGTACAATACAGAAAAGGTATCCCTAATCACTTTCTATGGAGCCATGGTAGCACAGGGGTTACAATGCAGTACTGCAGGCTAACTGCCCACAGCCAGGAGTTCGACCCTGATCAGCTCAAGGTTAACTCAGCCTTCCATGGTTGATAAAATGAGGACCCAGATTGTTGGGGGCATAATGCTGATATTTGTCGACTGCTGAGAGAATGCTGTAAAGTGTGGCCAATAAAAAATTCTATCCTATTCTATTCTATATAAGTCTAAATGCTATTGCTATGTGTGCATCAGATCTCCTACCTACCCCACCTCTGGCCTACAAGAACTCCAGAGGCATCAGGTTGGCACAACGCAAATCAAAATACAGGACGAGTATGGCTACGCTTTGATGTAACACAGGAGAGCTACGCTTATTTTTGTGTTATTGTTTTGTTAATCTCATTATTTTTTTTATAAAAGTTTTTTATTTTTTAGACAAACAAACATTTAATACATCAGTTCTTCTTTCCCTGTGACATTTTGGTGTTATCTTCCAGAATTCTTCTTCTTCTTCTATAAATATGTTGTTTCTTCTATCTTGATCCTTGTCCATTATACCAATTAATCACTAAAATAATATTCTACTCTTCACATTTTTTATACATAGTTATAAAATTAATCATTTATATCTCTTTTCCAACCAATAATAAAAATGATTCCATATCTTAAAATATTCTGACTCTAGAGAAAAACCTCATTTTTTTTTTATGCCAATTGGGATTTTTCCTTAAATTTGTTGAACTGAAAATGTCGTCCCATGTTGATTCTCCTATAAAGCATTTCTGGAGAAAACTACATGGCTCCCTTTTTCTTCTTGATCCATGTCTTTTCTTTGCCATGACGGTGGGGGGGGGGGGGGGGAATCAAGCTTGTTAGACAAGCAGTGTTCAAATCACATTTTAGCTTCAGTTTTTTTTTCAAAAACAAACTGGGCTGATGTAACCTATATATATAAAAGCGAAAACCACTCATGCATTAATTACAAAATCTCCAGAACCGTAAAGCATACAAACTTGAAATTTGCCACGTATGTTCCTCTTGGCTTCTAGGTGCTCACTAGGAAAGGATTTTTCAAAATGACCATCAGAGCATTAGTATTTCCTACATTATTATTAACATGCTCTAATGCTAAGGAATTCTACTTCCCCCTCCCCACTTGAAAAGAAATCTGTTCCAAACGCAAAACACAAGCAGAGGAGAGGAGTTTCACTTTCAGTTTTACTTTCACAGGAGCAAACAGCTTTACTACAGAACAGTTGAGCTAAGCCATGCCCAGCCTCCTTCCTGTCTCCTCCTTCCTCACACAGCAAATACTGTTTGTGTTTCCAAACACCCCTCAACTCTCTCACACACTGACAGGATGCTAGCCAGATGAATACCGATGGATGCTGCGGGCTGGGACATTCTGCTCCCAATCCCCCTCTGTTCCAACTGCCAGTTGCATTATATTAACACACTCTGATGCTATGGAGTTACACGTTCTACATTAAGTTTCAGGCTCTACGTGTCAATTTATCAAGCCTGAGCACATAGTTTCATGGCGAAGCATGGGCGTTCAGCTAGTTAGTTTATAATCGACGGTATTGCATGACTCAGAAAATTGGATTAGTTGTAAGTTACCTGTGAATAAGACAGAAGTGAAAAGAAACTCTACCTCCATTGCAAATGTTGTTGTGCATACAAAGGGTTTAGCTGAAATCCAACCCCTCTTGTTAGCAGTGGGGAAGATTCTACAGATAGTCCTTGACTTAAAAGCCATCCGTTTAGTTCAACATCACAATGGCAGTGAATAAAGTGACTTACAACCAGTCCTCCCGCTTACAAGCAACACAGCATGGTCACACGATCAAAACTTGGGTAGCGACTGGTATGTATTAACAACACTTGTAGCATCCCAGGATCATGTGACTGTCATTGCAATCTTCCCAGCTGGCTTCCAGCAAGCAAAGTCAATGGGGGGGGAGTCAGATTCACTTAATGACCACATGATTCACTTAACAACTGCAACGGTTTGCTTGACAACCATGGTAAAAAGTTTGTTAAAATTGGCCATGACTCACTTAATTAACAACTGCCTTGCTTAAAAACAAAAATTCCTGGTCACAATTGTAGTCGTAAATTGAGGACTACCTGTCCTCTAAAACCATCAGTGTGGATGAAATGTAGACCAATTATGCTTTCCAGCTGTTGCTGAATGTTTCGCCCTGTTGAGAGAGTTAGTTGTTGTAAATCAGCCACGCTTGAAGGGCTGCCCAGTGCAGATCATCTTGATTTGGAGCGCCTATTTAATGCAAGGTGAAAGTACAGTTAGTCCTCAACTTACGGCTGCAATTGAGCCCAAGAGTTTTGATGTTAAGCGAATCACTGTAGTTGTTTAATTAGTAACACGGTTGTTAAGCGAATCTGGCTTCCTATAGACTTTGCTTGTCAGGAGGTCGCAAAAGTGGATCACATGACCCCGAGACCAGGGGTGAACTGTAAAATGTGTTACTACCGGTTCTGTGGGCGTGGCTTGGTGGGGGGGTGTAATGTGACTGGGTAGGTGTGGCCAACTTTTTTTTTTTTAACTTTTCAAAGCATTTTTTCTAATGCTTTGAAAAGCCTCTGGCGATCAGGCAACTCAGCTGGGATCGTCAGAGACTTTTCAAAGCATTTTTTTTACCACCTCTTCAGCCAAGAGGTTGCAGAAAAAAATGCTTTGAAAAGCCTCTGACGATCCCAGCTGAGCCGCGCGATCATCAGAGGCTTTTTTTTTTTTACTTTTAAAAGCATTTTTTCGTCGGAAGAGGTTGTAGAAAAAATGCTTTTAAAAGTTAAAAAAAAAAGCCTCTGATGATAGTGCAGCTCAGCTGAGCATGGGGGTGGGCGCACAGGGATTTTTGCTACCGGTTCTCTGAACCACCCGCCACCATCGCTACCGGATCGGGCGATCCGGTCCGAACCGGGAGCATTTCACCCCTGCCCAGGACATTGCAGCCGTCATAAATATGAACCTGTTGTCAAGCATCTGAATGTAAATCATGTGGCCCTAGGGATGCTGCAACCGTCGTAAGTGTGAAAATTGGTCGTAAGTCATTTCCTTCAGTGCCATTGTAACTTTGAACGGTCACTAAATGAAGTGTTGTAAGTCAAGGACTGCTTTTGTAATGTATTCATGTCTTTGCTGATCTCTGCTGTATTTTTTAAAAACCACAGCTGTCATGGTAAAAAAAGAAAGGAAAGTTTATTTCCTGCCACCGCTAATCCTCAAAAGAGTGTCTTAATAATAAGCCTACACCTTTCAACATCCGCCTTCAAACTGCCTACAAACACTCAGAGAAAAATTACTCAAGATAATAAATTTAGTAGCGTGGCCTTTTGGGGAGAAGTTGTAGGAAAAGAGCAGGCAAAGCTGGCGGGCAGAGTTAAACGAGTCATCAGCCTGGAGTCCTTACGCTCCCACAAACATTCCATTCACCCTTATCTGGCACCAATTTAGTACTGAACTTTAGTTGACTAGATTCTTGTATAAAGTGTCAGCTGTGGAAGCCATATTAGGCCGGAAGCTTCCATGCTGCCCCCTTCTCCTGTGTGGGAAAGTAGGAGGGGAGGATTTAGTAGAGGGGTTGTCTGTAGACATAATAGCCTTCTTCCTGTCGGTCAAGGTCAGGGCGATCCTGCATCTGGAGAAGGAGTGGTCGGAGTGAGGTCTCGAGATGGGACGGCGGTTGATTGGAGCATGTGATGGACTGAGGAGTGAGGGGACGATTTTGGGGGTTTTGATTTACTGAGGGAAAACCCGGACCTCTCAGATTTGGGTTTTCCCAGGTGTGCCAGTTTACCTATTCTAGTAAATAGAACTTTGAAAAATGCTTGCTTCAGAGTTTTTACTTGGAGCTGGGTTTTTTTCTGGAACGCTGACATAAAAGCTTGAGCAATAACTCTTAGAAGCTGGTGGGAAGGTGCAAATGACCATCACATGACTGTGGGGCTAGTTCCAAGCACCTTAATCACAATTGCATAGCCACGTGGATGCTGGGATATCTAGATCTCCAAAGACCATTCGTAATCATCCCTCATTCAGTGTCATCGTAACTTTGGACAGTTGTTGAATAGATGGTTGTTATCTAAGGACTACCTGTACTGCTGAGGAAATTGGGGAGGGGGGGAATGATGCCTATGCTCTATAAACCTTTTTTTAGATATTTTAAAAATACATTTAACTAAATTATTAACGTTACAACATCCATCTACAGGAGGAGATACATGCATGTTTTATAAAAGGATCACAAAGTCAAACATTATTTTTGCCTTAATGTTCCTACACGTATTAATATAGTCAGGCCAGTGGAGGAGAGCTATTATTTCCCAGCTTGTTTTTTCCACTATTAAATCAGATATAGGTAGTCCTC